ATTTACATTTAAAATAAGGAAACACAATTGCATTGTCTTATTTCAAGTGCATATTATCTAATTATCTCATTTTTAGAGTAAAAATACTCATTCCATTGGCAAACTATCTCATTTACTTACTCAAATTAAGGGTATATACACTTAACTTAAGATATTTTTTACTTGTTTCTAGATATTTTTTCCAGTGTGTGACTAGCACTGCACTGCAAAAAATCTAAATCTATTTGTTCTTAAAAAAAGTGAATTTTTTCTTGAATTGAGGAGGAAGGTGAAGCATTTTGCTAATGGAACAAGACGATTTACATTTAGAATAAGGAAAAACAATTGCATTGTCTTATTTCAAGTGCAAATCAGGGGCGGAGCTAAATGGGGGGCCAGGGGTGGCCATGGCCACCTTTAGCCAATCATTGGCCACCCCTGTGGACACCCCGACCATTTTTCCCTTTATATGCACTGGAAAAACGATCTAGAAATAAGTAAAAATGTCTTAACTTAAGTGTTTTTACCCTTGATTTGAGCAGGTAAATGAGGTAGCTTGCCAATGGAATGAGTATTTTTACTCTTAAAATAAGATATTTGGATATTATGCACTTGAAATAAGACAAACCAATTTTGTTTTCGTACTTTAAATGTAAATTGTCTTGTTCCATTGACAAAGTGTCTCAATTACCACCTCAATTCAAGAACAAATGCACTTATTTTAAGAAAAAATTACTTGTGTCGATTTTTCTAGTGTACAGATATTGGATGCAACAATACTCTCATCACTATACTAATATCAAAGATGATGAATACAGAATTCATGCTCTTTTTTAGAACTAGATGTTTTCTTTTATGGGGTAAAGAGAAAATATGTCTCTGCAAGTCATCTTGGAGTCTTCAGTGAAATCATAGATAACAATTTTGTTAAAAAACTTATCAAATAATGAATTTATGTAGATATCAGTGCTTGTAAATATAAATTTTATGCAGAATGTTTATTGATACAAGTAGGTAAGTAATGAAAAACTGAATTAAAAACTGAGTTTTATCCACTATACCTTTTATCTAGAAATTACGGATGTTTAAATATATGAATCTATTTGTTAGCAAAGGCTGTAGGAAAATATAGTTTGTCTTTATTTAGAAAATATGGATTTTTTCATGTTGGAACGGTGTAGCTTGACCCTGAGGTTGTGGTACCTATCCGCTTTCGGCCACCCCTCAGTGTACATTGGTTATTGCCTGGACACCCTTAACTTTTTCTGGCTATGCCTCTGGTGCATATTATCTAATTATCTTATAGGATGAGTAAAAATAATCATCCCATTGGCAAACTATCTCATTTACCTACTCAAATTAAGGGTAAATACACTTAATTTAAGACATTTTTACTTATTTCTAGTGAGGGGTGATGCAAAAACGCTATGGCGACTGTTTGCCTACACTGCAAAAATGTTCTGAAAATGAGTAAAAATGTCTTAAAATAAGTGTATTTACCCTTGATATGAGTAGGAAAATAAGATGATCTGCAAATGCAATGAGCATTTCTACCCTTAAAATAAGATAATTACATATTATGCACTTGAAATAAGAGACTGAAGTTTTTTTCTTATTTTAAATGTGCATTGTATTGTTCCAATGGCAAAGTGCCTCACTTATCTGCTCAATTCAAGAAAAATTGACTGAGATTTACATTTTTTTGCAGTGTAATACAAGCGGTTTGCTGCTTAATAACAATAACAGGCATCAAAGGGTTAATAAAGACTAGCTTGTTGTCAGATCAGAGCTAAATATCAAACACTAACATCATTCTGCCCCTAATTATTAGTCTGCATCCATGATGAAAAGTCCAGATTCAGACCGGTCGTTGATTTGATTTGCAAAGAGCTAGGATGTCTAGAATGACGCCGTAGGCACCTAAATGAGGTAGACGAAATTGCCCCCCCCCCCCTACAATGTGTGAAACTGCCACCAAGCCTCTTGCAAACCCACAACTCCAGACCTGCACTGGAAAAAATGTCTTAAATTAAGTGTATTTACCCTTAATCTGAGCAGGTAAATGAGATAGTTTGCCAATGAAATCAGTATTTTTCCTCTTAAAATAAGATAATTAGATAATATGCACTTGAAATAAGAGAATGCAATTATGTTTTCTTATTTTAAGTGTAAATTGTCTTGTTCCATTGGGCAAAATGTCTTTTTTACCTCCTCAATCCAACAAAAATCCACTTATTTTAAGAAAAAATTACTTTTTTTTCCCAGTGTGACTTAGAATATCGGATGCTCCGGAAACTGCCCGATAAATTCACTCCTGTTCTCCTCTGGTCATTCTACATATCAGATAAAGATTACTTAAAATAAAACTGCATCCATCAGTGATTTTAAAAACTAAAAATATTTCATTCTGTTTAATAGAACAACGGTTTAGATCAGAATGGATCTTAAGGCACCAAGCAGATAAAAACCAAGCTAAATTTGATGCTTTCCATTTGAATGAAGAAGAAAAAAGTTAGTAAACTGCTTTTAAGGAAAACAAAAGAAAAGCCAGATACATCCTGTGCTCTGTGAAGATCTTTTAAAGGAGACATCTCAGCTCTAAAGCTGGTGGGAAGGTCCAGATACTCAGAGCCACTAAAGCTAAAGACTTTGTTTTGAAAATATGAAAAGGAAAATGATAATCTTGTACATTTAGCACTGATGCTTTCCGTTTCTCTGGTGGCTGCAGACATTAACCTGACTGATCAGAACAGTGAGCAGTAATGGCCGCTGTTTTCTAAAAGCTTTATTTATGAGTAAGCATTTGAAATGGGGCAAATTAACGGAGAAATTCTGACATTTGAGTCGGAATCCTGAGGACTAATGCGGCTTTTAGATCCGCCTCGTCCAAAACGCTGAAACAATCCATGAAAAACGTCCAATAAATGAGTTTTTCTCTGAGCGATCGGGTGATGTTATTACGGGGACGCTGAGTGAAGTCATGCTCACTTCCTGCAGAAAACAGTTTGTTTGCGTTTCCTTCTTCCCATTCCTCCATCACAGTCAAACATTCTGATGCATATTTATATATACTTTTATATCTATGTCTTTATATAGCACATCATAGGCACACACATTCAGGTCAGAAAAAAACAGATTCATTTCCGTCTAGCTTACTAATAGTGGTCACTAACTGAACACCCACACAGGAACTCTGCTGCAGAGTTTATTGGAGAAACTCTCCAGTTTGCAAACGCTAAAAATAATTCTCAAAGGTTGTTTCGCTCCTTATAAAACCCCTGAATGGCGGGGGGGGGGGGTTGCATTCACACTAGCATAGAAAAGGAAGAACAATATTTGTTTCTTTTTTATATCCACATAAAGTTTTTCTTTGACTCGTGACATAATGAGCTAAGTTTCTTCTTTTTTTTTTTTTTTTTTTCTCTGATATACAACATTACTCTGTCATTTAAACATTTGGACTAAACATGACTAGCTTTATATGAGAGATTTCATAAATATGTTACATCTCAGAAAGTTTGAACAGAAATAAAAAAAAAAAAAAAAAAAAAACAAAGTGCAACAGACATTTTTTTTTTTTTGAGACCACAAACACTTCTGTGAGTACATGTAAAGTAAATATTATTGGCAATAGCTTCGATTTTTCCATAGCTGCACCGAAATCAGCTAACAGTAGCTACACAGAGATTTTCTTTAAATCCGACTCACGTAGCACAGATAGAAGCCGATGCAATGACTGGATGTGGGCTAAGAGGCGAGCGCTGTGGCTCTCTACACACATCTAACGCCTGGGTGCTTTTAGGATATTTCCTGTACTCCAGTGTTTGTGTATACAGTGTAAAATGTGTTATACAGTATATGTCTATCTATATAATACAGAAGTTGTGTTTCACAACAACAGTACAGTCTTGTTTTATCATTCTCTCCTGGGGTCTCAAACAAAAAAACAAAAAATATCTTAGCCCCTCTTAGAGCAAAGTGTTGCGGAGAGGTTTAACGTGCTGGTTGCGTAAGAAAGGAAGTGTCCTGAATGCTGAGAAGTGAGCAGCTCTGGATCCTAGTTTGTGAAGTTTAGTTAGCTTATCCTGAGGTAAAACATTTTGTGCAATGCTTAAAGAAAAGGTACCAGTGACTTGTTGAAGGGTTTCCCCCCCTTCCTTGGAGCTGTGTCTTTATGCACACATGAACTCCCACCGTGTGTGGGGTAGGATACGTGACCGGGTCTGCTGCAAATCCAGTCCCCCGTTGCAACTATTTGGCTTTCCGACGCCGATTTTAGGGGAAGGTACGCCTCAGACAATCAAAGCCCTGCACACTGTAATGCTAATGTCATTATCCAGTTTACTCATTTAGGCGGCGAAGCGTGAAGAAATGGAAGAGAACGCTTATCTTTAGCTTCCAGAGTCAAAGGTGACATCTTCAAACTGCCAGTTTGGCTCTAATGAAAATAAAAAAAAAAAAAACCTGGAGAAGCTCAATATGCAATTACAACACGAAGCAAAGTTTTTAAAGCAACTTGTGTCGATCCGCTAATCTAATTTCTCTACAGTAATCCATTACAACAGTCGTGTAATAAATCTTATTTACAGGCTACAGTCTCGACTGATTTTTCATGGTTTTTAATCTAATAAAACGTAGGTTTCTGCTCCAGTACGACACGTTAACTCGAAAACGGACGGATTTTCTAAAAGCTACGACGTTCAAAAGAAACCCCGATGTCTCTTCTCTCTCGGTCCAAAAGTTCCGTTTACTTTATCACTGCAGTGGTCGAGGTTTATGAGCATAAGAGCTGCTTTCCTAATAGTGAAAAGCCTGAGCTTGGAGACGTTTTACCAAACAAGGTCGAGTGAAAAAAAAAGAAGAGCAGCCCTTAAAGCAGTTTTGAAGCTGCTTAAAGTGCATGCTTCATTTGGTTTTTGTTCCCCTTCCAATCGGTTCTATAAAATATTAAAAAATACCACTGAGCATGAGACGAGATGGGCCGCCAGTGGGCAAAGCTGATGCTCATCCTCCATATTTACCTTTGGCGGTACTTATGCACCATGTTGTCCCTGAACGCAACCCTCCAGGGTTACATTCCCCTAAAAACACAACGGCACTACGTCAGAAAAGTGGCATAAAGGGCGATTTGCAGAAGACACGGCCACCGTGTGAATGCTGTGAGTCCAAAAAAAAAAACAGAAATCTGACCTTCATGACCCTTAACTCTGCATGCTGTCATACCACATTGTACAGCTTGTAAGGCTCCACTGCAAGTGCACAACAGTAGGACACTCTAATGTTAAACAAAAGGTAGAAACAAAGCAGTCAGAGCAGCGCTGTCTTTGAGCTAAGAATTACCGGGCATGGGTTGAGTCAGTGAGTCATATTTCTGCGTAAGGAAATGATTTTGTGTTGACCCGATTCCTGCCCGTTTTGGGTTGGCTGTGACAGAGAAACAGCCCAGTATATTCTTAGTCAGATGACAGCAGCTGCATACACACACCTCTGAGCATGCACCATGCGTGCTGCAGTAGGCTCACATTGGTTATGGTGACACAGCACCCATATACAGCAGTCAAGATAATGCACATGTGCATAAAAGTTTCCAAAAGAAAACCAGAAGCACAAAATGAATACAAAACAAGAGCAGACCAATGATGACATCAAAGAGGTTGTTGTAGAAATATCTGCTTGAGAGCGTTTCTGGGGGAAGGGGCTCAGCATGTGGACCTGGAAGCTTTTTGTTTCGATTTAGCTCTCCACCAAGGACCGGCTGTTTGCTTGTTACGTGTTTGACTTTTTGTTTTTTTTCTTCTAAAGATAGTTTTTTTTTTTTTTGGGGGGGGTGGGGTAGTAATGTCTCTCTGTGTTTTCTCGCTTTTTTTCTTTCTTTTAGTAGGGAGTGAAGCGACTGTACCCTCCTCTGTATAGGCTAGCCTGCAACATCAAAGATGAAAAAGTACCAATCAGTATTCAGGTGACAGCTTTAGTTGGATTCTCTTTCTCTGCAAATTTCCTTCCTTTAAAACTTATCGACTTTCCATGTTGGAACAACTTTCCGAAAGGGACCGGTCAGCAGGCAGATTGATAGTTGATATATTTAAGCCGATAATTGTTTTTTTTTTTTGCTGAATTGATTGCCTGACTGGATACTCTCTGAGTGTGTGTGTTAGGAACAGGGTCACCAGGAGCCGAAGTAGATTGGTGGATTCAGAGCTTAGCCGATGTAATTTAAAATCTGCAGGAGCAAAGAAAAAAAAAAGAGCACTTTCTTAAATAAAACTCATAGAAACACTAATTCCAAATTTAATAGCTGCTCTAATTAAAAAATAAAAGGAGTAGAAATAAGTATATTTTTGTGCTGGAGAATTCACTTCTTGCAGGGCTGTAAATTAGACATTCACCCGAAAGCAGAAGAAGTTCAGAGAGCTTTAATCACAGCTCCTTTTTTATGTCTAGCAGAGGTGCCTGCACCTATCTAGAGGGGCAACACACCACAGGATATTAGCCCTTAGATTTAGCACCATGCTCAGGATATCTAGGGCAGACACACATAAAGCATGCAAGTGGGCCTATGCATGCACACCTGCACATGCACGCACGCACACAGTCCCTCCTCTCATCTCTATGTGGTTCTGTTGCAATTAGAAATTCAGATAAACTCCAAAGGCTAGTGTGTTCCTTCAAAGGCTAATTTCAGGGAGTCCTCCTGCTTGTGCAAAACTTTTATTCATATTAGATGCATCTGCAAGCTGGAAATGAGAAAAGAGAGTTTCCAACCTCAGAGGAACTAATTATTGTATAGCTTTTAAATGCAAAAATGACTTCACTCTGCTGGAGGAGCATTAATCAAATATGATTAAAGAATTAGGAACCAAATGGGTCTTTCCTCTTTAGCTCAGGAGTTTATTAGATATTGGCCTCTGTGCAGAGCATCTCCCAGCAGCTTCACTGTTTAACACCACACACACGCACGTGGACACGCACACACTCTCTCGGGTCTCTGTTGAGCTTCCCAAGCTCCCAACACACACCAAACATTAGCTCTGATCGTTTTAGGGGCCAGATCCCGTCGTCTACTTTCAATCGACAGCACGTTTTTCTTTTCTTTTTTAGAGTGAGGAAAAAATGGAAGGAAATTTGGAGGGAAAAGAAGAAAGAATAAAAAAAAACATTCAAGCACATTTTTTTTAATTAAGTAAATGAAGAGGGAGAAAGAAATGTCTTAATTAATGAAAGCTTTTAGCTAGCAGCTGCACCGGGGAACTTAAAGCTTTATTTGTTTTTTTTTATGCAGTTGAAAAATTGCATGCATGCCGGAAATTTTTGTTATTTCTCAAGCAGAGAGCACGCCTCCCATCAGGCTACTGGGCAGAAGAGGACGGCCAGGCAACTCCCCACCCCCTTCTATCTTGCTCTCTGGTTTATGTCCCACGGCACGCTGCTGCATGCGTCTGATGGCCCTTAATCTCTGGGTTTGGTCTGCGAGCCCGGTCCCATCCCCTCCTCGCCATAAAACAAAACCAAAGAGAAACTGTCAGTTTCATAAAAAAAGGGTGAGCCGTTTTCTTTTCTTTTTTTTTTTCATCTTTGATGTTACAGTAGCTGCAAAAGCTAGCTAAAAACAGACATTAACGATTGAACTTCATCCCTTTAGGTTTGGCTGAATGAAAAGAAAAAAGATGAGCCAACTCGCTCGGAGTTGAATGATGGAAAAAAAAATTAAAATAGAAAAAAGCTTGAAAATGCAGAGTTGGTCAAATGAAAAACAAAGGAAAAACATTCGCATTGCAGGAAGAACTCGTGTCAATTCATGGATGCATGATGGTGAGCTCGTGTGGCAGAACATACGTTTATTGCACTAAATGCCTGAGCCAACTTCCACATGCCGGGGGGGCTTCACAGTACTGCTCAGCTCCACTAGGGTGTGCCAGAGAGCATGACAAAAACTAAATCAATTAATGAAAGAATAGGTGAATAAAAACCAGCGTCCGCTGTGGCCTCTGGTCTTTATTTTACAGCGTGTGCTAGCTATCATCGTGATGTTAGCGTCAGGGTGCAGACAGGAGGAGACGGCGCTCTCAGAGACTTACCATGGTCCCCACACTGTATGTGGCGGCAGGGCCAATCGTGTGGTGGTAGGGGTCTGCTGTTGCATAGACTCTGCCATAGCTGCACGACAAGAGGCACAGAGAAGACAGACAGTCATTGATCTATCATTGACGAGAAGTGCAGAACAGTTATGCTTGTTTGATGCGCGACTCTTTCAAGTCGCTCGCAGGATCAATTATTCCCCTCGTCGGCCTCGCGGGCTTCCTGCATTATACAAGCTGGTTCACAAAGGAAGGTTCAAAGGTTGGGGAATTCTGCTCGTCTCTTCGCTGTCATCTTGATTAACTGAATGGAATAGGTGAGGAGCAGTGGGGGTGGGAGGGGCTTGGTCTCTTCCCCTGTGCTTGTTTACCCAGGCTGCACACTGGGCTCACACCCTCGTCTTTTCATTGCCGCTGGTTTGGAACTAATCCTTCCAATTTCCTTCTAAGACAGGACAAGATGTGGCTGCCTCATTTATTTATTTATTTGACTTCACATATTCCTCTATTTACTTTGCTTCGTGTTTTTTTCTTTTCCTTTTTCCCCACTGCTTGCTTGCAAATGAGGGTCTGCTCGGAGCAGATAAGGCACACCCAGCCAAGGACTGAGGGCACCAAATCAACCGGGAATTAGAAAAAAAGAAAGGAGAGGAAAAAAGCCCCTAAAGGAAACAGCAAGACATACAGCTTGATGTATGTTGTGTTAAACCATGTAAATAAGTCCAGCAGAAGCAGAGGTTAAGACACGATGGCGGAAAGGTTTGGCTGTGGGACGGTCTGAACCCCACGGGCCCCTATGAGGCTAATATGTCTGCAGCACGGCTGTGACTGGAGCGGGTCGGACATCCGGTCCGATGTCACGCCGTCTCCTCAGAGCTTCAGCAGAAGTTTCTTCTCCCAGCGGGGCCTCTCTCAGCTACTGGTTTGGCTTCGGTACGGCAGACTTTAAGCGCTATCGGCCTTTCTGACTGTAAATGTTTCATATTTGACGGCGGCTTTCACACACCTTCCGCAATCCTCAGATAATTCCGATAAGGTATTGCTGAGGCAATACAGACAAACGCCTATTGATCCAATAGGAATGTCCGCTTATTTAAAAGAAAACAAACAGAAAAAGCAAAACAAACAGCCTGGGTGTGAATTGTATTAAGGGAGAGGTATGGGCAGTAGAAGGAGGAATTAAATCACTGAAAGAGGGGGTGGAGAAAAAAAAAGGGCTGCTGTCCAATTCTGCTCTCACCGAGCACGGCTGCTCATAATTCGAGCCGCAGCGCGGCCTGATAAATCTTACATTATCGATATGATCTTCAGGCTCTCGGGCAGGGTGTACGTTATCACAAGAGACATGCTCAATCCTTTCCAGATTAGACTCCCAAACCAGCTCAGATCCCGGCTGACAACTGCTTCCAGGGGCCCAGATGAATCAGCCGAGCCTCCTCCAACAGAGCACACCTGAACCAGAGTGACATCACTCAGGTTCAGACCCGAGGCCGTTCATAAATACCGCAGTGATATACCCACTCTCCCATCACAAGCACAGAGTCACGACATATATCACTGCCTTTCTCATCCAGTCCAACAAGGTTAGCCTTTTTTCCATGCATGTTCTTTAGCTCCGAGCTAAAAAAAGAATATGGTGGCATGCCTAATGGATAAGATGAAATGAGAGTAAGAAAACCTCTGGAAACCCTAAATAACCTTCACAGAATACAGTAAAATGCTGATGAAGCAGCCACCATTTATCACAGCTACGTTTGGCCCGTAGATATGTTCCTTATTGTTAGGAAAACACTAATTATGTGAAGCTAAAGTCCAACCTCTGCAAGTCCTTCAGTCTTCAACCAATTCTGCTTCAGTCAATAAAGTTCTTGTTACCAAAGATAGCTTGTCGAACATCGTATAGATGCTCCCATCCTTCTGACCTGAATCTAAAGTGTCAGAGCAGCTGCTGATGAAGAAAAATGCTTCCTCTACCAGCCATAGCACAACATAAGAGTTTAAGATTAGAGCTAATGTTGGCTTGAATGTGTTATCCGGATGAACAGGAGGAGCCAGGAGAAAACTGCTGGAACAAGGTGGCTATTTAAGGATTTATATAAGCAAGAAGCAAACAATCAATCTGAACACGTAAGAATTTTTGCATCTTCAGACCCTCCTGGCTTGATGAAGTCGCTCTGATACGTCAGACAGCTGTTCTCCGACTGTTAGGGGGAGGTTTCTTAATTTGCAGCTTATTTTAATTAAATCTTTGACAATTCTGTACTTTTACACTGGGCTTATTGTGTATATAAACACTGTTATAAGCTAGCAGTAGGTGGCGTTAGTAGGAGGTAGCGTTGGCTTTGGTTTATACCAGACATCCCCAAAGTCGATCCTCGATGGCCATGTTTTTGGTTTTGGTTTGGACCAGGTTTTGGAGGTTTTCCTGCTCCAGGACAGTTGATTCACATTGATGGTTGATTAACAGGCTTTTTCTGAACTGCAATCATCAGAATCAGCTGTGCTAAAGCAGAGAAACCTCTAAAACCTGCAGGACAGCGGCCCTCGAAGACTGACTTTGGGGATGCCTGGTTTATACACTAGTAGACATTCAAAATTTCCCCATTTTCCAGCTTGGCTGGTCCCCTACGATTCCTTTTTAAACATCAATCTTGGTACTAAAATATTCTGTCATGATTTGTGGACATTAAGATCTAAAGAGCAGCTCCATCTCCTGGTCAGACAGTGAAAGGGTGGAGTCAAAGTAAAAGAATATGCACTCCCAGGAACAGGAGGGGTCCCTCCAGTGACTGGAAGTTGGAGGGGATTTTGCAGGGAGTTGCATGGGAGTCTGCCGCCATTGGGCTGGCGTTTGACTGGGAAAGTCCATTTTAAATGGCTGTTACTGTATATACTTTAGCTCATATCCTTCCATTTAATCATGCATGGCAGCCAGTTGAAGAAACTGGAAGAAGGTCGCGGTAATAGATTATATTTTGGAGAACTGGAATAATTCTATTGCAAAGTCAACTCACTATATCCACCAGGCTACACAAGGACAAATATTTATGAGAATACACAAACTGACTGAAATTAAGAATTTATATAATATATTAACTATTGATCAATTATATTATTGTATGTAATACTAACCTAGATGAATAAATAACTAACTTCTAACTAATTTAACTTTAACTCATTTTTAAAAGCTTCTAGTTAGAGTGGCTCAGGTTATCCTGAGCTATCTCTATAGTTCTGCTGCTATAGGCTGTGCTGCTGCCATCAACACCTTTGTTTCTAGATGTTGGAGCTTGGCCTGTTTTCCAGTGTAGTCCTGTTTCTCTGACTGTGACTAACTGGATGTGCTCTCTTCATCCTCTGACATGGGAGCTGGCTCGGAGCTCGTCTGCCTGGCTGTGTGTTTCCTGGACGGGGCCGCCTTTTACAGCTGCTTTCTGTATCTATGCGCCTTTTTCTATGTCTGCTTCTGTCTCCTTGAACCCCAGTGGGCCTCAGCAGATGGCCGCTCACATTGAGCCTGGTTCTGCTGGAGGTTTCTTCCTGTTCAAAGGGAGTTTATCCTCTCCACTGTCGCTACAAGCATGCTCAGTGTGAGGGATTGCTGAAGAGCCAATGAGTCGATGCAATCAGCTGGTTTTCCTTAGATAGAAAACTTTGAATCAATCTGACTGGATGATCTGGTTGAACTGTAAAGGGCCTTGAGATGAATTGTGTTGTGAATTGGCGCTATAGAAATAAACTGAATTGAAATTTATTTCCTTTAAAGGGTAGAAAATGCTTTCTTGTATAATCAGATAATACCAGCTGGCGTTCTTTCTCTTACATTTCTTCTGATATTCATGCCGCCATTCAAAATGGCTCCTCCCAGTCAAACGCCAGCGGAATGGCTGCCAACTACCAGTCAATGGAGTGACCCCCTCCTTCTCATGGGTATATATATTTTTTAACTCTGACTCCACCCTTTCCGACATGTCCCGACATGAATAGAGCTGGAAACCAGGATCAACTGGTCAGCTGACCTGACCACCGACTGATTGTGGGTGTAGAGGTGGAGAGGCCCTGCCTAAGTAGGGCAGGACCAGGTTGTTAAAGACCTTAAAAACGGACGTTATTACTTTGAAATAAACTTTCTGTAAAAATATGTGCTGCAGCACTAAACAATTTAGTTCATTTAAATAACCTGAACTGAAGCTGCTGCAATAATTTACATTCGCTAGGGTTTTCTGATTCTTGTTCACATGACAATAGTGCAGAAATGTGTAATGCTGGAGTCACATCTGCTTTCATTAACGCTGTTGTTCTGACCCTCGATAGCAGCCTAAGGATTTAAAACATTGACATAGCATGAATGTTTCCAGCTTGAGGTCTAATTATCCAAAGTTGTGACAGCTGTGTTGAAAAAAAAAGAGTTAGAGATCTGTTATTAGAGACTATAATTTACCGGGTTTGAAATCTTATCTGGATATGATGAAATTATAACGTCAAAACAAGCTTGAGATCTGTTATCTAAAGATGAGCTCGTGAACGATCCCGATCAAGAGAGCTTGAAGCCTCATTTCCAGATAACGAAAGAAAATTAGCCGGAGCTCTTTCTATAAAGACATTATGAAAATGTCACAACAAAACAAGCTTGATGCGAGAGAAAATGGTGTAATCGATGCATAATTAACTTTTTACCTCGCAAGATTGTGTCACTGCTGGGACTACAAAATAACTCCAGATGAATGTTGTGCCTTATGTACCAGATTCTGTTCTCACCATAAAAAAAAAACAAAACACATCTAATCTTCCAGGCTACAGATTTGACCTTTTTTATGGACAACAGTAAATGTTGAATATCCTTCAGTGTGAGTAAAGCTCTTGTTATTGGCTGCCCCTTTATGTCAATCATTTATAGAGACGGTGCTGCGTCATAACGTACTTCAGTTCAGTTTATTTTATTTTTTAGCAGATCTTTTAGTTATCAGGCTCCTCTCCTGTGGAACCAACTACCAGTTTAAGTCCGTGAGGAAGACACCCTGTCTACTTTTGAGGCTAGGCTTAAAACTTTCCTTTTTGATAAAGCTTCTAGTCAGAGTGGCTCAGGTTATCCTGAGCTATCTCTATAGTTCTGCTGCTATAGGCTTAGACTGCTGGAGGACATAGGGACCCCTTTTTTCATCATTCTGCTTCCTGTTTGGCTGTGACTCCATCCTGGAGAGAAATATCAGCTGTGCTGCTGCCATCAACACCTTTGTTTTCCAGTGTAGTCCTGTTTCTCTGACTGTGACTAACTGGATGTGCTCTCTTCATTCTCTGACATGGGAGCTGGCTCGGAGCTCGTCTGCCTGGCTGTGTGTTTCCTGGACGGGGCCACCTTTTACAGTTGCCTTTTGTATCTATGCTTCTTTTTCTATGTCTGCTTCTGTCTCCTTGAACCCCAGTGGGCCTCAGCAGATGGCCGCTCACACTGAGCCTGGTTCTGCTGGAGGTTTCTTCCTGTTCAAAGGGAGTTTTTCCTCTCCACTGTCGCTACAAGCATGCTTGGTGTGAGGGATTGTATTTGAGTCAATGAATTGATGTAATCAACTGGTTTTCCTTAGATAGAAAACTTTTATTGAATTGGCGCTACATACATAAACTGAATTGAATTGAATTTTAGTGGTTGTTGACTTGTACGCTGAATCATAAATCATGCTACAACCATTGGCTAAACTTTTGACAAGGTTTTTTCCGAAACTGTTTTGACGTTAGCATCCAATCATTAGAATTTCACCACAAAATAACATTGATTCAGTGGCATCTTTTCAATATTGGATGCTTTTAAGGGTCAATCCACTTAATTTATCAACTTTGACCAGAATTAACCTTTTTGACCATAATTAAAAACTGAAATAACATATTTTGCTATCTGTGAGGTAATTTCGACTTTAGTTTGGTTAAATTACAGTAGTAGACATTCACAATTTCCCCACTTTCCTTGATGGACCCTTGGCTGGTCCCCTACAATTCCTTTTTAAACATCAATCTTTGTACTAAAATATTCTTTCTGTCATGATTTGTGGACATTAAGATCTAAAGAGAAGCGTCATCTCCTGGTCAGACCATATAATTCAGTGAAAGGGTGGAGTTAGAGTCACTCAAGTGGCTGGATGTTGGAGGGGAATTTGCTGGGAGTTGCAGTGGTGTCTGCCTCCATTCGGATGGCGTTTGACTGGGAACGGCCATTTTGAATGGCTGTTACTGTAAATCATTCAGACAGATTGGTTAAAAGTTTTCTTTATAAGGTAAGGCTACTGATTGAAGACTCAGATATGTGCATAAGAGGTAGAAAGAGAAGCATTTTTTACTCGGCTCGACCTACGTGCGGCCAAACTTTGATTTGATTTGCCACTGTTGGGCAAAAACTCTGTTGGATTTTAATATTTTTGTAAGAAAAAACGTAAGTTTTAATTTCTGAATTTTGAAAGAAGAGTTTTTTCACGGGAATTGTTATTTTCTTTTTGTTCAATCACAACAAGGCTACGCATGAATGGACCAGACAACTGTGGGACATTTCCAAGCAAACTAATTTTTCTAATTATTGACTGTTTATGATAATAGGTGACATAATTTGACTAGTTTGATCATTTTTAAGGGAGAAAAAAAAAAGCTGTAAAGTAATTGTAGGATGAAGAAATTAAAACATGCCACAGGCAGTACAGACCAGGTACTAAGTGGTTAAATTAGTCGGAAACACCTCTCTGATATAGACTATAGCAACTTCTTTAAACAGTAAGAAAATGGAGTGTTTACTGCCTGGGAGGGGTTCTCACCTGTCACTGTAAGCAGCGGTGGTGGTGGGTTGGGCAAATCTGTATGCTGCATAGCCACCCTGTTAAAATACCAAAGTATTAATTAGTGATTAAGCACAACCTGCTCAGAGAAAGGTTAGAACTCAGATACACAAGCAAACAACAATGCAGACTCAGAGCTTTAAATGTCACTGCACAGTGTTTTGGTCCTGAGCCCACACCTTTGAGCTGCAGGTTCCCTCAGAGACACCAGAGGGTGCTGTTTGATATATGGTGCATGCAGCAGGAGGTGGCATTAGGGGAATGAGTGATGATCTGAGGAAGCAGCACGTTTGGGGAGCAACTTATTGTCGCACTACAAGCCTGTTGGAGCAGCAACAGCACGGCGGAGAAGCAGAGCCCCCAAATGCTGCCCATTTTTAGCTGACTTTCTGCAGCTTTCCCTTACTGCGACCCCTCGTCTCACAAATGAAGGGAGATGTTCGAACCGTTGGGGAGTCAGGACTGCTGTATTCATTTGCCAGAGTGGGGAAGGAATTAAAGACCTGATTGTAGAGTGCTGCTATTACTCTCTTTGAAAAATGAAGGTGTTCCCCCACTGTTTTTCTATTAGTGCCACCCGAGCGTCTGCCCATCTGTGTCCATACGCCGGATAGCTGCCTTTTAATAATGCACCTTTTCATTCATTTTTAAAGCCGTCCGTGAAAGTTCTGCGGCTGAAAATCTATTCTAGCTCCCTTTCCGTCGTTTTCCAGGGAGGGGGTGCAGGAAGTCGTGGCAGATGAAGCGGATGACTTCCTGTGGGACAGAGTCTGCCTTGGGACCGCCCTGATTACGGCAACAGCCCGAACAAACAGTGGCCGATAAATCACTGCATTGTCAAGTCCTGCACACGGCGCTGCTACACATTTGTTATTTTGTCACGTCGGCGCAATCGTGCACAAGTGTACTGGTGCGTTTCCACACGGAGCAGCATGCATATGTATTAGCACATACATATCCTGGGTGATGCCTGTTTATATGTGCATGTTTGGTTCTGACAACATTGTGGCATCGGCTGGATGACAGTTGAGGACACTAAGGCGCTAAGGGACGGCTTCCTGTTGGTCACCAGAGACTCTACGCACACCGAGGCAGTTTGAAGCACTGCAGTGGTCATGGCCGAAGGGAATGGCATTGGTGTCTTGGATTGGGAAGATGGATCAACCTTCCAGGCCTCAGTTAGCTTACACAGAGTCTGTGAGTAGAGGCTGAACATCACTCAGACCACAGCCCAGCTCTCTTCTATGGCGGTGGGTGTCTGTGCAATAAAAGTCAGTGAAATACGGTCCTATCATGTGGGCTGGTGTGAAAGTCATCTATCACACCGGGTTTAGCATTTCATTCCCAGACACCGGTCCTGGTCGGGGCGAAAGTGAGAAGCAGCTGTCAGCGCCGCCGTGCTCACTGTCATCTCGGCAGAGAGAGGAAAATCAAAGGGACAAATTACACCCCCCCTCTCTCCTCCCACACACAGACGTTTGGACCGATGTTAAAGTGGGGGCAATGTGGTAATTTCAGCATTATCTCCACAGCCTCCTTGCTCCTCTGTGTTGGGGCGGCCTGCCTCTGATGCGACCCCGCCTGCACGGACAGATCCGGAGGGATGGCAAATCCCTTTATCTGCTGCTCCTCTTATCTCCCCCACGGTGATTGCTGGGGGGGGAGAGACTGGCTCCACTCAGACCGACGTAGACACCCCTCCTCCCCCAGGACAGGCAGGGATATCCCAGCCAAGCCCTTTGAATGAGCAGCGAACAGGACAGGAGAAACGCAGACAAATCTGAAGGAGTAAATGACCTAACTTGACAAGGGACACTGAGTCAGGGTCCACCTCTTTGCCAAAGTCTGAGATCAGAGAAGGGAGGAGCTGAGGGGGTTTTAAATTTTGTTGTCGGGTTTCTTGGCACGGCAGACTGAGGCCTAATCGACGCCGGCTTGGCAGCGACGCTGGGTGAGAGCCGGGGGGGAGGAGATCACGTTTTCGTCTCCAGGGCCGAGTCCTGTGTCTGCTTTACTTCTCTTTCAAACGAGCAGTCAGGAGGAAAACCAGCCATACTCACATAGATCTCTGCTCCGTAGAAGCCATCTTGGTACACCACCCTGTGAAGCCATAAAATAGGAAACAATAGTTAGTTGGCTTTGCATCCCGCCGAATCCTCGGACGTTGTTCTGTCAGATCGGCGTACCCCGTCGGATCAGCATGCCTACAGTCAATACGGATGAGCAAGAGTTTTGTACAAAAAAAAAACTTTAAACTCCCTCAATGGGTGTTTATCCCTTTAGTCATGTATGACAAAATCAATTTAAGGTCAGATTGACATACGCTTCTAAAAAAACACCAAGTAATTAAATAATTTTTGTACATGACTAAAGGGATACACGCCCGTTGAGGTAGTTTAAAGTTTATTTTTCGTACAAAACTAAAGGAATAAACGGGTATTGACTATGGGTATGCTGGTCTGACCGGGTATGCTCGTCTGACAGAACACCGTGGCCTTTCTCCTCCAGCGTTCACCGCCTGCATCTTGGGTGAGGTCAGATTTCTGGCAGCTTCAGCTCGCTGTACCACAAATAACGAATGACACATTAAACTGAAAGGTGCAACCGTTTCAAATCCCTGTCCAATTTTCTGCTCGGCTAAAGTTGTTTGTCTTTCCAGTTTCTGCAGTTGTTGTCAGGAGAGAGGAGCGAAGGACAATAGAAAGCAGTGAAGGCAGCTTCGTCACGTGACTCTGAAGTATAAATCAACCAGCTGCCATCAGCACCGAGGGGCCCTTAGAGAAGCAGGGAGGGGACCGTGGGGTTTCTGGTCCTGGTTTCAGCAGCGAGTCTCTCTACAGCAAGACTAACCCTGATCTGATCATAGGGGGGCTGGCCTTTGTCCGAACAGAGTGAGAGGCAAGAGATCAGCCGATGCTACCCACTCTAAATCTGCTACTGTCAAAAGCACCAACTATACCAGAAGAAAAACCTGGACCTGCATGGAGGAAGAGGCAGAGCAAATGAAAAAGGGATTCAATTTCTCTAAGAGTCATAATATTACATTTGAACACTAAAAGACGATGTTTTGCACAGACACGGGTTTCAGCTAAGCAAGTATATATTTGTGACCATCTTTGGACAAATGCTCTGAGGAACTAAACCGCTTTCATACAGTCAAACACCAACTGAATGACAGCTAACTTCCCTCCAACTCCCAGCAAAATCCACTCCAACTTCCAGCCACTGGAGTGACCCCCCTCTTACATATTTTTGTTACTCTGACTCTATCCTTTCACTGAATTACAGGGTCTGACCAGAAGATGACGCCTCTCTTTAGATCTTAATGTCCACAAATCATGAAAGAAAGAATAATTTAGGGCAAATATTGATGTTTAAGAAGGAATTGTAGGGGACCAGCCAAGGGCCAGCCAATAATCTGCCAATGGCCAGCCAAGGACCAGCCAAGGGCCAGCCTAGGATCAGCCAAGGGCCAGCCTAGGATCAGCCAAGGACCAGCCAAGGGCCAGCCAATGGCCAGCCAAGGAACAGCCAAGGGCCAGCCAAGAATTAGCCAATGGCCAGTCAAGGATCAGCCAAGGACCAGCCAAGGCTATCCAAGGACCAGCCAATGGCCAGCCAAGGACCAGCCAAGGACCAACTAAGGATCAGCCAAGGGTCAGCCAAGGATCAGCTAAGGAACAGCCAAGGATCAGCCAAGGACCAGCCAAGGCCATCCAAGGACCAGCCAAGGACCAACTAAGGATCAGCCAAGGGTCAGCCAAGGATCAGCTAAGGAACAGCCAAGGAACAGCCAAGGATCAGCCAAGAATCAACCAAGAATCAGCCAAGGACCAGCCAAGGATCAGCCAAGGAAAAGCCAAGAGCCCCTCAAGGAAAGTGGGGAAATTTTGAATGGCTACTACTGTAGCAGCTGTCTTGTTTTTTCACATTCAACCCTTCAAATCCAGCAGCTCTGGTTCCCTTTCCACCTCACTGTACATTCAACATAACTTTGTCCAGTTCTAGAGGTCTTACAAAAGAAAAAGTCCAAATTTTCCAGATAGTTCCATTAAGCCTTGTGACCCGGCCCTCTTACTGAAGAGGAATTTTCTAAATATGAGCAGTTATCTCCGCTCCATGCATTTGTCCTTCCTCTAACATTTCTTTGATAATGCTGTGAACACAGATTTCCTTCCTAAACCTGCTGACTGAATCTTGTAGAATTGTAACACCATCTCTGCCTCACGCTAACAAAAGCTTTAAGATAAGATCTCAGTATTTTTGTGATTGATTTAATGCAAAATTTGAAGCTTGAATCGTTGAAATTAAAAGGTATAAATGGGTGGTCAAATTTGATACGTTTATTCCAAGGGTAAAGAGGAAATACTCACGCTCCATAAGCAGGGATCGGTGGAGGTGGTGGAGCCGTGCGGAACGTGTTGTAAACAGCTCGTCCCCTTCCCCGCAAGTGGGCACCCCTGTAGGCCACCGTAGCGCCTGTGGCAGGGTAGGGGAACCCTGTTACTGCAGAGGAAAAGGGAGAGAAAATGGCTTTCAGAGAACATCTTCAGCTTGGCATTGCTTACCTTATGACAGAATACATTAGAGAGAGACGTGTGGCTCTGCTTTCCCTATGACAGAATGCATTATGTGGAAGACAAGGAAACAATAGATTTAATCTTTTCTAGGTGCGCCTCATCGAGCACTCTACCCTTTCCCAGCTCACTGCTTTGTGTCGTACTCAGCAAGGATCCACATTTGCTGTACGCATTCTTCCCTGATGCCTGGCGAGGGGCAGCCTTGAAGTCCGGGCGACTAATGGATGCAGTACCACTAGTTTCGCACCACGGCTTTCGCACAGTTTGGAGTAGAATTGAAGAGTGGGAGGCCTGAGGTAGAGCCTGAACTCAGGAGATGAATTTGAGGAGGCTGCTGATCAACAATCAGGCGATCTCTGACGCTGATGGGTTTCAGGTGGTTGGAAAATGGGGGTGGGGAGACAAAGGTTGTTGTGACAAAACGGTCACGGTGAGATTAGAGGACAGCTAATGGGAACTTCAGGTCTCCATTTAACCTTCAATCAGCACAGAGGCTGTCTGATTACAGCCCTGCAGGGGTGCATACAAACACACCGATCTCCAGAAATGATTAAGGTGGCCTCCACTCTTCCTGCGATTGTAATTCCCTAACACCTCTGCAACCCCCCCCCCACAGCAGAGTCTATCAAAAAATCAGTCACCGCCATTATTCTTCATCCTCCGCAAAATGCCCCTTTGTCATCCTCGCCTCACCTTATTCTTCTTTACGTATATCCAGAGTATTTGTACTTTCCATCAGGGATTGTTCTGTTAACCGGGTTGTCTGATCTCACAGGTAAATAGCATCTAAAAGAATAAAAACTTGTGCTATGTTTGTGGCGTTAGCCCCGCAGCCACTGGACGCACTGACGGGGAGAGGGATTAGCTTTGTTTTTGAAAACGTCTATAACGTCTGCAATCATTAACAACTCGCTCCATTAGTGGATATATCCAAACTTCACATCTCTTTGGGTCAGGTGACCTCCCTCACCAACGCACAAGGCGCTTTGTTTGCTGCCACTGTACCAACCTGTGCCCGATTTCCCCCCAAAAGTGATTTATAGCTCTAACCTTGGCATTTAAATTAGGGGAGGGGAGGGTGTCCGAAAATGCAGTTGCTAAAGGGCACAAACAACCCTCGTTCTGAAGTCCACCCCCAAAGAAAAATAAATTATGCTTCTTCCTTTCTTTTTTTTTTCTTTTCTAAAATTTGTATGCGATCTGCATGCGGTGATGTATGTGAACGTAAACTCATAATGAGTTGGCGATAGGCTACACTGCTTCAATAATAACCCATAAATCAAAGACACTGTCACACCTTGGTGAGCGCGTGAAAAGCAACAACAGCCGCCGCCGCGTACGGAGAGAGCACAAACCCGGCGGAGCCACCAAAGTCAAACACCTTTTTCCGGGGAGGGGCGCCGCAGAAAATATGAGTTATGTGCCGGAGGGCGGCAGGGTCAAGCCGCACCTCATATGTCATACGTTGTCAACCTGAGAGAAGCTCAATACCTGCAGAGCCAAGTTGGACCCGGGGTAATCCAGTGATGGGGTCATAACCGGCTCTCATAAAGAAAGATCTGATTTTCCACAAGGTTGATCTCTCTAATACTTCCTGCTCAAATACATGAGCATTTAATCCACGCGCTGGGGACCAAAAACAGCTTAATCTAATCAAGAGTCTGGAGCTTAATTATCCCCCTAAAGTACACTCCAACAATGAGAGGATCTGTCTACATATATTAAGACGGCAATTAGCCTTTCTTTTCTGTCATTTACACAGCTGGTAGGTTTTCCACAAGTCCTCAAGAAAAGACTCCACCTTAGTGAGTGAAAATCTGAATTGGTGAGTGAAAAGCCACTCATCTCCTGTCTCTGTTGGAATTAGCTGCAGAGAAGAGCCTCTGAGTGGTAGCCTGAGGGGGCGGCCATACGATGGCGGGTCTAAGTGACAGCTGTCTGTGGCGCTGAAAGCCTCCAACACCAGTAATGAAGAAAAGTTTGCCAATTATACCACTATGAGCTAAACGGCGCAATGCACGCTGAATGCAGATCTACCTCAGAGGAGTTCTTTTAGTTATTCTAATCTTTATTTTTTCCCGTTTTATGCAATTCTAACACCTGCATCGGATTTATTTCGATGAATAATAAAATCAAACCGCTGGATAGCTCACATAATTAATAATTTCCTTTAACAGAGGGCATGAATCAGGGCTTCACATCGCTAACACACCCATGTGTTCATGTGAGGCCATTTGAGTCCATTCTGCATAAATTATGGAGTTTAAAATCACATTAGTGCACATTAAAACAGGAGAGAGGTAAGCACAGTTATTGTTTGCCTACCAGCTACTGCACACCATAATTTGTGCCAGCGCTAACTTTTATTGCCAGCTCTCTTGGTTTAATTGGGAGCCCTCAGTTTGAGGAGGATACGGAGACGGGGAAGGAGGGGGGGGCATTGCTGCAGACCCCACCGGGTCCTTTCCTGCTCCCCTCCCCCATCAGGAGGAGGAGCCAATCTACCCTGGAAGAGGTTAAGAGCGGGGAGCTGGCGTAAGGCTCTCATCCGTCATTCTCCTGAATGGGTTTTGAGGACAATAAACCTGTAGCGCCAGGACGAATGGAGACGAAGTGTGCTGTCACCCAGCCACGATTTATGGCTCCCAATTTCACTGATCTCCTGCACAGAAATGAGGACTGATAAACAGTGATTAATCGGCTTTATATACCATTTTAACACCCCGCAAAAACCATAATGGTGAAGATTTGGGAAAAATCTGCGGCAGGATTTTATGGTTTTCCCAAACCTGTAACATTGGAATGTCCTCGATAGGGTTGGATTGTTCTTTCTTTTATAAAGGAAGCACTTTCCTGCAGATTAGGGATGGTTTGGTTTCAAAAATGTATCTCTTTATTTATGTTTCCCATCTTCCCAGCTGGCAAGCATATGTTGTCGTTTAGGCTTGGCAAACTCCAGCGCCATGTCAAGACGACTTGAAAAATTAGCAGCCAATAAATCACGCAGCCCCTCCTGCTTCCCCTGCCTGGAGTGGTGGACCACACTCCCTCTGATTTATGAGATGATTTGGGAAGTGTGTGTGTGAGGAACATGGAGGAAGCGTGCATGAAAGAAGAGACGTGTATTAGTGTCTGTGTTCTACATAGGTTATCTATTTCTGTAGGCTGCTATGCTTTGGTCTGAGTGTAAGAAAACAGGGCAGGTGGTGGAGCTCTGAGTGCGCACGTAGGGGCGGGAACACGATTGTTTGCCCAAGTTCAGGCTTATATAATGTCCGTATCCTTTAGTTTTGGAGAAAATTCCTTCTGATGGCGTCAAAGTGAATGTGTTTGATGCTGTTAAAAGAGTTACACTCGGAGGCGAACATGTTTGTGTGCATAAATAATTAGCAGAGGAAGATGTTGAAATGAAAGGAGTGCCGGGGGGGGGGAGGTTAGTGGGAAGCAGGGGAGGAGGCTTGGATGAGGGTAAGGGGTTGGGGCTGAAATAAAAATGATAGATGACTGCTTTCTGTCATGGACAGTTATTTAGAGGTTCGCCGTAAAGCTGTCCGGGGAATGAACAGATTTTAGTCTAATGAGCAGAAAGGAAAGCCGTTAAAGTGGCGAGATGTGCTCAGCACTTCTTCCAAATGAAATAGTACCATTTCCCCCTCATTAAAATGCAAAGGGTTCATATAACATACAGCAATAAAGCTGGCATGTCGAGGCAGAGAGAGATAGGGAAAACCCCACTGAGCTCATCTCGTTCCTCCATTACTGAGACCAGAAGGAATAGCGGCCTTCGACAGGGTGGGTGCCAACAATATCTCTCACTCAATCTCCCTTATTCGGTTAGCTCTGTAAAAGTCAATCTGGTGCACTTGGCAAATCCATCCACAGCAGCAGCCTCCACAATCTGATAACAGTTGCAGAGGCGCTTGCTCTTGAAATCATTTTTTTTTTTAGCTTTACAGTTGCACACTGTGCAAACAATGGCTCAGGCTCCCTCAGCCACTCAGAGAAGCTTGGATCATCCACTGCTTATCGGATCCACTTTGATTTACGGCGAATTTTATGTTCACTCGGTTCAGGATGAACCTGATTGTGGAAATTCAGGGGGTCAGATTGGGATTGGCTGCGGCCGATAGCGGACTCTGGCGTGTGGCGGAAAAAAGGTACCGGGAGAAATGAGAAAAGCAGTCGTACCGGCATACAGTTCAGGACCATAGACAGCTCCCACCACTGGGTTCAGCTTCCAGCCTGGAAACAAAGAAGAAAGTCCACTTAGACCTCGGCTTAACAGGAGCTCGATTAGCAGGCAGCGCTCGGCACTCACCGTTTGTATAAGGGTTGGCCACTTTTTTGTTTGTCATCACTCGTGCGGTTGCATTGTTCACCTGTTTAAAGCAGGAGGGGACACAGTGAGTGTTTACAAATGTTAAGAACACAAGCCAAACATTCAGACTGGGCCACGAGAAAGCAGCAAACCAAAACCAACTGAAACACATTCTCAAAATAAAAGGAGGATTGTGCAGGTCTACAGATTTCTCCTGTTTGGACTTTTTAAATGTTTCAGATCATCAACAGACTCTAAACATCAGACAAACTATTTTAAAAAAGTTTTAAAAAAGTTAAAAAACAATCCACTGGATTTTGTTTGCGAGTTTGAAGACATGCGCTTCCCTTCCAGGAAGCTTTTTCAATTCAAAATGTCAGAAAGAGCGTAGACAGGTATCAGGTATTACAGGCTAACAAGGGGCAGACCTGTTTGTCCAGTTTTCAATTTGCATGTTTTCTAAGCCAAAACGAGGCTTTGTTTTTGGTCCACTCTATAAAGCCTCAAACTTTATGTTATTTCTGACATTTTTAATTGAAAAAGCTTCCTAGATGGGAAGAGAAACGTCTTCAAACATGGAAAAAAAATCCAGTGGATTGTTTTTTTTGAATTTCTTTTAGTCTGGTTTTAAAATAAGTTTGATCTGAAACACTTTTGTTGGACAAAAAAAAACAAAAAAGAGCAGAAATCCTGGGGAGAAAAGCTGCTTCACAGGACTGTAAACGGTTCGTTCCATCACAGACATACCTGCTGCTTTAAAATCAACCAACAAAAACAAAGGAGAGCATGCAACATCTACATGTTTGAGAAAAAGGGATCTTCTTCCAGTTTTATGGAGTGATTGAAGAACCGAATATGTGCCACAAAAAAGGAAAAATAAACTGGTTTGCTCCCACTGACCTGATGGGAGCGACTGTTTTATAAACAAAACTGTAACTCGAAGCAAGCTGCAGCAAACGAAGGCAACCAGGAAGTGCAGGTTGTCTGAGATTCAATAGGACCCCAGAGGGAGACAGCATGCATTCATCCTGCTTTGTCAGGTGATGATGGACAACTTGTCCAGGTGGACATGTATGGATTCCATATTCTACTGAGAACGGATTACACGCACCATTATGCATGCATGCAACCAGATCCACACACAAACGCTAGCCGCATGCTTTTGCTTTGATATGCAGGGAAACCAAGAACACAGCAGGCAGGAAAGGAGGGAAAAAAAGGGGAAAAATGGAAGCACCTCGATTTTGCGTCCCTCTACGATTGTACCATTTAGTTTCTCCCGTGCACGATCAGCGTCTGTGCTTGTTTCAAAAGTTACAAACCCAAAGCCCTGAGAGCGCCACGTTAGCCACAGGTAGAGAAGAAAAGACACACACACACACAGAAGGGGGGGGGGGGGGGGAGAGAAAAGGAAGAAAGAGGTGAGAAGACAGGAGGTGGTGAGCAGCAGCAGCGGCGGCGGCAGTGGAGTCGAGTTGTAAGCAGCCAGATTAATTAGAGGCAGTTAGTGAGGCGTCAGGAAACAGCAAACAGAGAGATCCGAGGAGGAGAGAAGAACAGTGACATGACCTCACACGGCAACACCAACAAACCTGCCCGCTTTATCCAATTAAACGGCACAGCTGCGGTGGCATGGGTGAACGTCAGGAAGCAGAGGATGCAAAACACTGTTGGCTGCCATAATAGTGCTTTAATTATCTGAGTAACTTCGACAGCGTGGCTTCTGCTGCAGCCTTCCCTTCGTTTGAGGAAAACCCGGCAGCAGAGGAGAGGAGGGTTTCTCCTCAGCTTGATCTCAGACTGCTTTGCATTCAGAGCTCTAATAGCTGGAACATCTCAACAGAAGCTAGAATAAAGAACTGATATTGACTCTAGAACGCGACTAACATCCACCCAACCTCTCATTTCCATCCCCCACCTCTCGCTCTCCACACCAACACTCCCCTGGGAGGGTTTGTCACTTCGCTGAGTTATGTGGACTGGGATACTGGACCTGAGCGCTGTAGTGGAACCATTAAAATATTCCGGCCAAACAAGTCCCATTCCCTTAGTTTCTATATATACTTCTAGAGGTATGTGCAGGGAGGCAGGGAGTATAACCGCTGCTGCCTGATAATTGCTTGAGGATTTAATACATGTGAGAGATGGCGAGCGGCGTGATTCCGCATGCACACACACAGGATCAGTGGCGGTTCTAGACGAAATATATCAGGGGGCCAAGAGGGGACCGGCGTGTTTTCATGGGGGCACGAAAAATCATGAAATAAAGGCTAATTTATAATCAGAAACCAGGTTGTCATTATCTCCTTTCTATCTCTTCTTTCTTTCATCTTTTCTCTTTTTTTTCTTTTTCTGTTTTTCTGCTCTATTTACATTGCAGTGTCCATATAAACTGTAAAACTCCCTCTATAATTATAATAAAGCTATTATTTATTTATATGCATGAAAGTAAAGTGAAAGTAAAATCTGCTGGGCTCTTTTTGGCATCAAGACAATTATTGTTATTGTCACATTGCCAGACAGGACACTGTGTAAAAAAAAAAAGAAACCAGGTCGTCTGTGTGTGTGACACTGCTGCACCTTTCCAAAACTGTAGGTGAGTGCAGACAGTGCTGCAGACAGGAGGCCTCTGATTGGTCAAATCTACATTCGCTATACACTATGGGCCGGATCTATCATAGGTTTGCGTATATAAAAACGTGAGCTATTTCACTGCGCACGCTAAAAAATGTACAAACTGATCTATCAACAGCGTGCTAAAAGGATTTGGTCTTTAAAACGTGCTAAATAACGCCTCTTATCCATTTAGTACTTTTTCTGCAATGAATATGCAATTTGGGGCGTTTACACGCAAAAGTGCGTCTTGTGGGAGGAGAACATGTAAATATATTAATTTAGCACTCGCAAAGTGATTTATTAAACCTGAAAGCAATTTTGCTAACGGTATCTGACTCTATATTTAACACGTTTCAAAAGAAGGTGCAAATGGTCTGTATGCGTAATTGCGCACACATGGCAGCGGTTATTGTCGCAAGAAGGAGACATGGAAATGAAGCAAGGAGACGCAGAGAACGCATTTTTTCACTCCGTGTGAATATTTTTGGAATGAAGGAGGAAACGATCATAAAAACATTTCTTTTATCCAGCATTGCCATTTTGGAGCTGCAATTCCAGTGATTTGCTCCTCACAGAGCGTCAGCTGTACTTGTTCCTCAATGCTGGTCAGAGGCATCTCATCTACTGTGCCCCCTCCTATTTTGTTCGCAGATGTTTTGTTATATGCCAGTTTTTCTTTGGTTCGCCTTCTAATATCCTGGTATCTTCTTTTTACTTCATCCACTGTTCGCAAGGTTTCACCAACAGCGTTTACTTTATTACAGATTTGTTCACAAATAGCGTTCCTCTGTGTGACAGTCACACTTCTTTGCTGTAGCTCACTTAAATGTTTGTTGGCTTCATCCACCAAAATCCTCCATTTCCATGGGGTCAAATTTCCTTTTGCGCCTTCTGCTGTCCAAACTCGCCATGCCGCAAACCACAAAACGCGCAAAACCATCATTTCAATAGGGCGTCTCCAACAGTTTTGCACCTGTCACCAGTTACGCAATCGCTCTTGTTAAATCACCCGCAAACCATGGTTCAGCCCCTCGCGCAAAATTCCAGTTTGCGAGCGCAAATTACTGCACGCAAAATTGGATCTTGATAAATCCGGCCCTATGAGTTTTTCCTGTTTGTTACCTTACTGGTTTGTTTTGTTTACTGTTGCACCGATACCAGTTTTTGGCACCGATACCATCTGTTTGAAACTGATGTGTGTATATATGAAGAACTGCAAACTACTTGGATGTAAAATAATTGCCATCATGGCTTTATCAAGCTGCTGCCTACCTTTGTGAAGCAGGAAAAAGACTAAAACAAAGTGAATCCAGTAGAATTTTTTATTGCCTAACTGGAATGGGCGACAATAGTTGAAGAAACTCTCAAAATGGTATCGGTGCGCTATTGGTTGGTACTCGGTGCAACAGTGGTTCTGTTTGTATGACCGCCATTGTGGAAAACGACTAATGAAGTTGGACCAGCTAGACAAGCAACATATTCTTATTATCAATTATGAAATCGTATGAAAAAGTATGCACAGTATTTCGTACGTTTTGTACGAAATACTGTGCATAACGCGGACGGACGTAAAACTGGGAAAAACAGTGCAATAATCACTTCTTCAGGTCTCTAACTAGGTTGATTGCTGTTTTGTATCTTAGGGTTAGGGTTAATTGTAGAGATGGCAAAAGTACTCACTTTCCATACTTGAGTAAAAGTACAGATACTTGTGTTAAAAAATACTCTGGTAAAAGTGGAAGTACTGATTAAACTTCTTTACTCAAGTAAAAGTAACAAAGTACAGGCTTGTAAATGTACTTAAAGTATAAAAGTAAAAGTAGAAACCATTTTTTTCATGCCGCTGCCTACATTTTAAATGGATGTCTGCCAATAGGACTAGATCTCCGTTGTGTTCATTTTCAATCATCTCGTCGTCCATGCTACTATGCTAACGCCACCGCCACCAAGCTGCAATGATTTGCCGCCAATGAATACCGCCGAATCTGTCGATTCATCTTGTAGTGGTGCGTCAAATGCAACGTAGATTCCCATCCAATTAGATTGAATTTGGTATGGATGACGTGAAAAATAATAACGGTAACTCCATTGAAATGATTCAAAACTAAAGTAACGAGACAATTTTTAAAATGTAAGGAGTAGAAAGTACAGATATTTGTGTAAAAATGTAAGGAGTAGAAATAAAAAGTCGCCATAAAAATAAGTAGTAAAGTAAAGTAAAAATATCAGAAAAATCTACTTGAGTACAGTAACGAAGTATTTGTACTTCGTTACTTCCCATCTCTGGTTAATTGTATGTTAAATTGTTATTTAATGGTGCGTAAGATGCGCATGCGCAAGGATATCTTGTCTCGAGGCAAGACGTAAAAATACGACGAAATGCGACGAAAAAAACGTCTAAAACATACGAAATTACGGTGCATAACTTTTCGTACGATTTCATACGAACTAATAATGAGAATACACTGAGAAGAGAGAGGTGCGCGAGAATGTTTGGACCCTTTTTTCCACCTTGATCCCCGCTCTTTTTGGCCCTCATGTCCCTCCGTTGTCACACAAACTTGCCCCTTGCATTTTTCCACTTGCTCAGCGCCTCGGCCGCATCTAGACCCACAGCTAGTTCCTGATTGTCCCTCTTGCTTTGTGATGTGGAATAACTTAGCGCGGACCACGCTTCAATGTTGGGGATGAATCAAAAATATCTGCGACAAGCTCACTGCGACACACTGCTGCGGGAGGAGGACCAGCCCTTTAAAAACAGGGCAAGGGATTCAAATAACTGAATGCATGAAGTCAAATTTCTATTAAATTAGGTTTATTAAAATTCTATTTCTCATTAGGTCAATATACATACATGATTTAGGAATTTTATATGTTTTTCACTTAATTTAAGTTAAAATTAGCGTTTTTCTATAAAATATTAATCAGAACTTAAGAAAAACTGATCAATTCAGCTGCAAAAATTAGAGTATTTTTTTTATTTGTTTTGAAAAAAATAACATTTAGTAGACGAAAACTGGGTTCCTATTTCAATAGCACTAAAGCTATCACCTTATTGTTTTTAAACAATTAGTAACCATGTCTGTTCCAGCGCATATCATAATTAGAATTACTTTTAGTGTTATGTCGTGGGTACAGGGGCAAAAACAGGGCCCCCATAGGCCCCCTTCTAGAACCGCCCATGCACACGATCCCCTGGAAGCTTCCTCTAGTATAAATAACATGGGAGCTGTCCAAGACGGAAGAACATAGATAAAGAAATAAATTCAGAAAAAGGATTCCAGGGCAAAATGAATCCTTTGCACTCTGGTGTCTATTTTATTTATTTATTTTTTATCAAGAACAAATAATTAGCTTACAAGAGGAGAGAGTGGATGCTCCATTTTTCAAAGGAGACAAACATATTGAATGCAAATTGCCAAAGCTTCATAGGAAATAGATTATTTATTAATGGCCTGATAGGTTCATTATATAGCATAGAGAGTGCGCGAGGGAGAGAGGCATCATGGGTAATGGCTTTGTGGGGCACAAACAATAAATGCTTGTTACGGCGGAGGAGGCAGGTTTATCCGGTGCTCAATCTTGTCTGGCAGAAGGGGCTGAGAGCAGCAGCAGCGGCAGCGGCTGGTTCCTGGTCTCCCTGTGAGCCCGTATAGCGGCCCAGAAGCACTCCCGGGTATGAATGGGAATCAATAGTATTCATGCCTCAACACCCAGCCGGGGAGCCTGTCGCCTTTATGAATGGAAAGCCGTGGAGCTTAGTACACTCTATTAAATGAACAGCTGGATGAGTAGCACTCGGCTGTTCACAGCGCCGCAGGCTTCACCTGTCCTGCTACGTGGTTAGGAGACTGATACTGCAGCAACGCCTCAATGCTGGAGCCATTTTTCCTCCTGAGAGCTACTCCCGCTTCTCTCCGGGCCTCAGATTGATGCAATCCATGTTTTAAAACATTCAGGGGTTAAATTCAGTCATATGCTCCCAGGTGCTTATTACAGACCTGTTTTAAAGTGCAGTTAATGTCGACTCAGTGATGGACACGTTAGCTCAGGTCACATTAATCTGCTACTGGAAATATTCCCCAACGCTTCTGTTTGTTTAATTCAAACTACAGCAGCTCCACGTTGGGGGAAAAATGCTGAGCTGCTTCTTATCTAAATAAATCTGCATATTTGTGACCTTTTTCTAAAGACTAACAACCTGGGTAGGAACGGTGAGCTCGGCGCCGGGCGCCGCATTAGGAGAGGAGTCAGAAAGTGCTGAGAAAGGTAGGAGCACATTGTTAGTTTTGGTCTTATTATTGGATTTTTTTTTATTTTTTTTTACATATAACGAGAAGAAATGCAAAATAAGGCCATCTTCATCCTTCATCTGGCTCCTTTTAATTAATTTATTCAACATATAGATGTCCTGTTTGTGAGGAAACAACCTGAATATTAATATAAAAGTGATGTTGTGTTTATTTAGTGTGGAAAGAGATCCCACAACGCTGAGGGCTCAGATATCTGCTACTGGACTCAGGTCTAGTGGTATCACTGCATCTGGAGTAATACATCACAATTATTATAAAAAGTCCAGGATGTATGGAGTGAGCTTTGCTCCATTATTGTTGCAAATGAATAACATGTTTTAAAAATGGAAATAAAAAAAAACGCAATCCAGAAATGAAATTTAAACTGGCTTTTGCAGTAACTTTTGTGATTTAACTTTTTTGTAAATCGCATTTTACAGATCACTTTCTATTGGTCTACTGGACCTTAGCAACAACATTTTTAGTAGCCAAGAGCGAGCCGTTGAATATAGAGAATTTGATCTGTAAAAACTAGGGCGGAAACAATTAATTGGATTCATCGTGATGAATCAATTATTGAAATAAACGTCAACTAAATTAGTAATCGATTAATCGTTAACTGGAGCGTATAGACTGTAAAACATGCCTTTAGCTGACAGAGGGACCCACTTAGAGCAGTAATTATACCAAGATTGTAAAAAAATATATAAAAATTTTGCCTTTGAAATAACAAAACTTGTTCGGCTGTCAGTATGATCTATCTAGAACTCCTCAAGTGGAAAAGTTGTAGTTTCACTTGGTTTAATTCTGTAAAATATCTTCTTTAAGAACATTTGGCTATCTGATTATTAATGGAAAAAATAATATACACATTAATCTGTTCGCAAAATAATCGTTAGTTGTAGCTTTAGTAAAAACACAAATTTATAATGATGCAGTTTGTAAGGAAATTTAGAAAAGCAACTTTAAAAAAAAAAAAACATTTGGAAAAAAAAAATTGAAAGATTTTAATAATTTGAAAAAAATAAAATAGAAAAAAAACAGCCAAGTTTGTCTCAAAATTTTTTTTTTTTATTAAGAAGTTAAACAAAGCTTTGCTTCTTGATTGTAATTTTAAAATTTTCCATTCTCAAAACATATTTGCTCACAGCAATAATGGAACAAAAGTAACTCCATAGCTGAGAAGCAGAGGTTCAATCCATTCATAGCAGAGTCCATCATCATCATCATCATAATCCTCATCAGGAAGTTGATGCATTTTAGTGATTCAGTTGAAAAAGGGAATTTGATGTTTTTACAATCGTTAACTGGAGTGTAGAGACTCTTTTGATGATTTAAGGACCAGATTGTTGGTTCCACCCAGGATAATTTTATAATTCTTTCTTTCCAAATAAAACCAAACAATGAAAATGGATCGGAGATAAGAACTTTTTCTCTGTAAAGGTTAGATCCCCAAACACTTCAAAAAACACAAATCGACTATGGGTATGCTGGTCTGACGGGATATGCTCATCTGACAGAACACCAGCTCTAGTTTTAGGTGAGGACATCAACAGTTGGAGACGTCCGTCGATCTGAAGCTTCGATCCCAAACACATAATTAAACATAGATTCTTATCCTACTTTTCCATCTTCCTTTAACTGCCATGTTTTGATCTTCCCTTTAACCTTCTCTAACACAACCTTCTGTGGTTCTGGTGCAGAACTCTGAGGAGGTCAGCAGTTCTGCTGATAGCCTTAAAGGGAAATTGGTCGGTCCCGTACTCAGTGATCATGACGAAAATTATTATTTTAGTTAGTATATTAGTTTTCTAAAATTCATTAAATCAGTGCCAACGTATAAGTTTTGGTTATAATGATCCATTGATCATTCCTTGCCGAGCGGACTTTTACTTTGACAGAACAACCAAGTGACTACATGAACTGGATTTCACATTTGAACTGAATTCCTGAAAGAAAATTACGGAAGAGGATTAGGGCCAGTGGAAAATTTTTTTTTATTTCAGTTTAACATGGAAAAAAAGTCAGAATTCTGACTTTAATCTCAGAATTCTGACTTTAAAAAGTCACAAAAAAAGTTTAAAAACTCAGAATTCTGACTTTAAAAAGTCAGAATTCTGAGAATTCCGCATACTAAACTGAAATAAAATTTAAAATTCAATTAATTTTTTTTTTTTTCACTGGCCCTAATCCTCTTCCGTAGAAAATAAATTGTTATTGCGTTTTATTTTGATGCAGCTGAAACACTGAAACTCTTATTTTGAAGTACAAAGGAAGAACACCAGTCTTCAGACCCTCAGGTTGTTGATTGTATCCTTTTAACAATATTGATTACTTTCTGGATAAATTCAACCATGATGATATAAGACACTAAAAACTTGTAAGGAGCGAGAAAATTCTAAAAAATAAAGGTCTGCCTGGTCAAATGTGTGTCTCTATTGAAGCGTTTCCACTACAGGAACTGTGATCAGGAATAACGGTCGTTTTTTTACTCCGTACTTTTATTACGGCGTTAACGGTGCCTGAATATACCCCAGAAAAACCTCCCTGGTAGACTGCTGGTCCTCTTTCCTTCCCCAGGACCATTTGGATTGAGTTGTGAAGGCAGGGAATCTGCTAAACTTTATACACTGGCTGATTTTCTTTTTTTATTCAACATCAAATTAATTCAGGAAATTTACTGGAAGATACCTCAGCTCATATTCTGTGTCTTTGTGGATTACTGTATGCACTAGATGATGTGAACTAAACGTAAATTAAAAAGCTAACTTGACATAAGATAATTTACATTTGATTTGAGTTAATGAGTAAAGTTTTTTCAAAATAAAAGAGTTAACTTATTTTTGAGGCCAGACTACTAAGACAATTTTAACAAAACCATTTTAGCAATGTGCTCTGTTAAAATTTCTCTTGCTTTTAAATTATTTTAATGCAAATTAAGACTGTAAACAGCATTATTTATCCCTTTATAGAGCAAGTTACCATTTTTGACCACCTGCATACCTCTTTTAAATGGAGTCCCCCCCTCAGTGAGGTCTAGAAGCACTAGATCTATATCCAGCCATTCAGGAAAGATCCTGCTACATGGCTGTACATCTTAATCTGGCATTTGACCCATTAGATGAGCCCTTGAATGATAATTTACCTACTGGAAATTAAGTTGGAAAAGAAGTTAAGCCAAGAAAAAAAGGTGAAAAGTTAATAATCCTAGTTAACGATTATATTTTCTACCATGAAAAATGTTTTTCTTTCACTCTCAGAGTTTTTTTGCAGGAATTTCTTATAGAAGCACTTTTGTTATTTCTTTTAATATATTCAGGGAAGTTGGCGTTTCTTCTGATAACATTGACATTCATTTTTCCCATCAAAATATCCATATTTTTTGAATGTTACAAAGGTTTTCCTGGATTCCAATAACACTATTGGCTTGAAATGTTGATTTCCAACATGCTCTATAGAAGGTTATGGGTTGAATAAATGTTCCAGGTCTCTTAGAGCAAACCTGAACCTGATTTGCAACAAAGGGAGGTTTATAAATTCACTTTTGGAGTTGGGAACAAAAAGAAGTATGAGCGTTAGAATTTCCCAGTTTCTCTAAACATATCATTAAAATCTCGGAGTATTTTTCCGTCAGCCAGCTGCGTTGTTAAACCGCTACCTTTCATCACAAAGGTGATAAATCTGAATAATGTAAAACCAAACTAATCGATGCCCGCGTTTGAAACGGGTTTGGGTCCCTGAAGGAGGCGGTTCAATCCCATCTGCTGGAGGACCTGTGGCTTGCTGGTGGATTAGGCGAAATGTGAAACAGCTCAATAATAAATTGATTGACAGGACTAATGATTCACAACTTGTGTGAGAGCTGCAACAAACAATGAAAACAAAGGGGAGGGAGGGAGACGGAGAGCAAGGGGCTGGGTGGATCCGGCTCTCCAGGACCGGGCTTAGAGACGGCTACTCTCCGCCAACGTACACACCGCACTAATGCCATCATTAGGAAACAGAAGAAGTGCATGGTAATGAAGCAGCTGGCGTTCTAGTTCACTTACCTTGGATCCTCGCTCATTAAAGATAATCTCCACATCTAAAATCTTTCCAAATTGCTGCAGAGAGAAAAAGAAAGACAGAAGAGCAGAGATGGAGTCAGAGAGCTTCCCTGGCTGTGAATTCATGAGGAGGATGGGCTGGAGAGAGAAGAACCATTAAGGCAATATGGAAATGTTACTTTGGTGGGGAAATGGTGGTCAATTTGCATTTGTTAGCTGAGCAAACAGTTGTTGAAGGTTGTTGGCGTGATTTAAAGCAACTCATGGCCGCTTAAATGCCTTTGGATGTGTATCAGTGGAACAAGACAGCGGCGTTTGTAAAAATAAATTCTACATCTTCGACTGTTTCCAACGTTTCTGATTCGCGATTAAGAAAAACCAGCAGATGGCGCTTTGATGTCTTCACCTTTGGAGAACCTTCCCACCAACCTTTCTGCCTCCTCTCACACGGTCAGCGGCGCCTAGGGGGAGGTCAGGGGGGGGGCTTAACTCAACGCCGCCCCATCCTGTCGATTTAACAGGCCTACCTACGGATCATTAGAAAACAGAGGGATGGAAGTAAACTAGAAGTTCCTCTAATGAGTCGAGCAAGCGCCACTTTTAATTGCCGTCTACAATGGCCGTATTATTTCATTAAAAGTAATTACCCTGTCAAGCGGTCCGCGTCGCCTTCATTTCAGCACAACGGGGAAGAAATGGGCCTTCCATGTGGTCGACGCTCAATGGGGATGGATGGATCGTTTGACTGAGCCACTAATAGGGGTTAGGAGGAGCTGGCTATTATCTGGCTGCAGTGAGTGGAGTGGGCTTAAAACGCTGAGGGTTAGCTGAAAAACTTTGAAACAAATGGCTGAGTTATTTACCCCCCCCCACCTTCTTGTTATATATCCGTTCCTCTTGGAGGAAGACTCCATAGATCCCATCCACACATCTGTCTCGTATGGCGCTCGGCTCCACTGATTCGAGGAGGGAACGCGGGCTCGATCGTACACGCAGGCATTTATATCCCAGCGTGACGCCCCCTTTTTCTCGCCCGAGAAGACGGCGCTCCCCCCCCACCCACCCCACCCAACGTGCAGATGCTAATTGTTTTAACCGAGTGTAATGGGCTTGTGGCGTCAATTAATTAGTTTCAGAGGAAGTCGTCTTTGTGGATTTCCACATGGCACTGGGGACCGCCGATCTCGCACGCTCCCATCCCCACCCACCCACTCGCTTTCTCCCACACACAGACAAACAGCTGCATCAGCAACACCGATACACAGCAGCTTCGACGGGAGGAGTCTCCATCCATCCCTCCATCCCTCCACAGAACAACTTTAACTTCCCTGACTGCGTCGTTTTAGACCATTTATCAGCAACTGTATGTTCATCTTTGAGCGTTTCAGCTTCAATTCTATTCTAATGAATTGTGCAACATTGCAAAAAACAAAAAAACAACATTGATGACCTAGGAAACTAAAAGCCATCAGAAAGGAGGAGAGAAACATACAAAAATGATTAGAATTTTTAACCCTTTGATGCCTGATGTTCCTAATAAGCAACAAACTGCTTGTAGGTTTTTCGTTAAGTCAATTTTTCTTAGGGGGCAGAATGATGTTAGTGTTTGATCTGACAACAAGCTAGTCTTTTTTAACCCTTTGATGCCTGTTGTTGCTAATAAGCAACAAACCGCTTGTATTACACTGCAAAAAAAATTAAATCTAAGTCAATTTTTCTTAAAATAAGAGCATTTTCTCTTGAATTGAGCAGGTAAGTAAGATGCTTTGCCTTTGAGATAAGACAACTTACGTTTAAAATAAGAAAACACAGTTCCAAAGTCTTATTTCGAGTGCATAATATCTAATTATCTTATTTTAAGGGTAAAAATGCTCATAGCATTGGCAGATCATCCTATTTTCCTCCTCATATTAAGGGAAAATACACTAATTTTAAGACATTTTTACTCATTTTCAAAACATTTCTGCAGTGTAGCCAAACAGCCCACTAGAAAAACTATCCTGAGATAAGTAAACGTTACTTAAATTAGGTGTATACCCTTAATTTGAGTAGGTAAATGAGATATTTTGCCAATGGAATGACTATTTTTACTCTTAAAATAAGATAATTAGATCCTATGCACTTGAAATAAGACTACGCAATTGTTTTTTTTCTTATTTTAAGAGTAAATTATCATGTTCTACTGGCAAAATGTCTCTTAACTCCTCAATCCAAGAAAAAATACACTTATTTTAAGAAAAAATGACATCTAGATTTAGATTTTTTCCAGTGTAACGTATTTGTATCACCCCACACTGGATAAACGATCTAGAAATAAGTAAAATTCTTAAATTAAGTTTATTTTCCCCAAATTTGATTAGGTAAATGAGATAGTTTGCCAATGGAATGAGAATTTTTACTCTTAAAATAAGATAATTAGATAAAATGCACTTGAAAATGGACAATGCAGTTGTGTTTTCCTATTTTAAGAGTAAATTGTCTTGTTTCATTGGCAAAATGTCACTTTTTCCTACTCAATCCAAGAACATTTTAAGATTATTTTAAGAAAAAATTACTTATCTAGATTTGGGTTTTTTCCAGTGCAGTGCTAGTCACAGTTTATGTTATTATGTAGTTATAGTTGCTGTTACAAAATATACTTTACCTTCATTTCTATTTAATTAGTAAAATTAACCATTTTAATTTTGCATCTCATTGAAGTGGAAAAAAACGCACAAAATGTGTTTTTTTATGTACATGTACATCAATTCAGGCTGCAAGTTAAAGTTAAGGAGCTAAAAACAGATATTCCCCCCCCCCTCAGATGTGAACCTGTAGCTTATCTCTTATCTTGGCTCCAGCCCAGGCCCCCGCGCCTCCACCTTTGATTAGCCTGAATATCTTAGCGCTCCTCATAAAGCTGTAATGAGGCTGCGGTGGCCTGTGTGTTCAGAGGCTGTTGAAGCCCAGCAGTCATCGTGACAGTGGGACAGGGGGGGGGCGGTGAGGGTCGGATTGCTCTGGGGGAGCGCCGTGAGAGCCCATCGAGAGAAGAATCCAGCCTCGCAAATGAGGGCACCCTCGAGCGGCGCAGCGTGGGCTCCTCCAAGAAGCTCGCTGGCGCTTGGAGTGTTTTCATTTCCCGCGCACTCACTAGCTCTCAGAGATCACAGTTTCTAATTACTGATTAACGTCCGCTGTGGATGCCCTAATGAGACCTTCATTCAGCGCCTCGTTAAAAGCTCACAGGTCTCCCCGCACCCTGGACCGCCAACTCACACTCTCCTTGTCTTGTTTCCTGATTCCTGCTTTCAGCTGGGCTTAAAATGTGGCTCCAGGTTCCACTGAGCCCGAGCAGCACCACCTCCCACCTCCCCCTCCATGTCTGCGGGCTTCACTCATGCGTAACAGTAATGGCGTATTGAGCCGGTGGCGCTCCAGAAGCCATTAGAGCTGGAGGAATGAGGCTTTGCACACACTGATCACACAAAGGCCCCATTGTGGGGGCCATGTCAGAGGGTGGAGCGGACCAGCTATCTCTTTGCCAAGCTCCCACCAAGACAATCAATCCCGCAATCCTCCACCCTGCCAGCGACGAGAGCGAGAGTAACGGGAAGGAGCGGGCAACATGTGAGCGGGGAGGGGTGATTGAGGGAGGCTGGGTGGGCTGCAATCAATTTTCCATCATATATCTGCATGCACCGGCCAGGCACACAAAGCCTCCAAGCTAATTACGGGGTGATTTGGATTCCACACGACCTGCACCAGAGCTGGGAACAATAAAGCCAACAATCAGAGAGAGAAAGCAGCCATGTTGTGTGCAATTTATAAAGCCACAGCTAGGGCTCTCTGGTAATTAATATCATCGGCTCAATGTTGTCTTCATAACGGCCAAAATTAACGCCTCTGGCTTCTAATGGTCCAATTAGCGGCTAACGTTTGAAGTACATTTTTGGCTATCGTCTCCATTCAGATCCATTATTGCTATTGAATTCGGTTCCCTTTGTGTTGAAGCTTGTGTGCGACACAAAAGGTGAGCAGTTGAACGGCGCACCGCCTCATTAGTCGGCCCAAAAAAAGGACGGAGATCCGTGAGATCCTGATGCACAAACTCTACGAACGCAGGACGGCGTTTAGAAGCAGGATGGCGATCAGATGCAGGTTTCATCGCTCAGCTAACCCCTCCCCTTGCGTCTGACCTACGGTGCAGCAGAGTTCAAGAGCTGATTGTGACTGATTGAGCTGTTTATCACCTGCGAAATCTTCCAAGCCACTCTTTTCTCCCCAGACAGCACAGTAATCAATGCATAAACTAGATGACAGCAGCAGCAATGGCATAGCTCGATAAATAAGCAGCTCCAGTTTCCACTTTTAAGGTGTTATAAATTCCTCTGATGTTAGAGGAGACGGAGCTAACTGGAAAAAGTCACAGGTGTCACAGTGGGAGTGTTGCTGTGGCTGGTGGTAAACCTACTGGAAAAAAAAAGGGTGTCTCGGAGATACTCACCCCAAACATTTGCCTCAAATCTGGGTCCCGGAAGCGGAAAGGAATGTTGGAGACGTGTAACCTTTTTGGCTGCTGCTTCTCTGAGGAGTCTGAGTGCTGGAGCTGGAGCTGCTGAGAACCCTCTGTTTGCGTCACGTCATCTGTCTGCCAGAGGGAAACAAACACAGAAAAGACACAAGCTGCTCATTAGCTGCTGCTGCTACAGCGCACTGTACCTCCCGGTCCTGCAGTATGAGAGCGACAGTGAGGGGGTGGGAGGCCTGGCTCACTAACTTAACTCCACATCTGCCATTTTTCAATCTACTCAGAAAGCCTGAGCGATAAACAGCCGATGACTTATAGTGTCAAACCTGAGGTTGTGCATTACAAATCCACTTATTAATCTCTTGCACTTAGCTCCTGAGCAACAGGGAAGATTGAAGGCGCTGACAAAAAGGCGTGGATATAGATCCCACCAGAGCCCTGACACGTCTAGACTAAAGACACATTATTGGTGACGTTTGCACACAGCCATCAGAGTGCGAGGCCCAGAGCCCTCAGCGTTGTTGTTTCCATCATTATGCGAATACGACGCTGACATTTCTATATAAATGATGTGTCTGATGTCAATGACAAATTCCACTTGTTTCTCAGTGTGACACCGGTGATGGATTTCAGCGAGCCCGCTGCTGGCTTGTCTCTTTAGACGGACCTTGTTTTATTTTCTGCGGACAAAAAGCTCATTGGTCAAACGCACAGTTTACCCCGTCTGATCCGACGGAAGTTTGTTTTTTTTTCTAAAGTTTTCTTTGTTTTGGAGGAGTAAATAAACAAAAAAATGTCAATACATGAGCATTAAGTATGGAGCCAAACGCCAATTAGCTTAGCTCAGCGTTAAAACTGGAAGCCTGGTTCTTTTCTGGGCTGTTCAAAGCTGCTCACTAATTAAAGCAAAGCAGTGCAAAATACAAATGTTTATTTTTGTGAAAGGGGTCTAATTTGAGCCAATTATGGATTCGTTTTTTAGTGTTTGGATCTTATGCTGTGTTTGAATCTGCTCTGGACTGTTTTTTTTTAATATTTTTTGTATTAAATAGATTGTAAACTTCTACTACTTTTGCACAAATTACCGTTAATGTGTCTAAATGTTATTTATTTTTCAGTGTGATTAAAAATTATCCAACATTGCAAACTTATTTTAAAAGTTTGCAATGTTTAAAACTTATTTATAAAATTGGTTTTGTTTATAAGAAAAAAAACGAATTAAAGACACTTTATCAAGCTAAAATAGTTTTTTTATTTTACATAACTTTTACACTTTATGATTAAAAGGACGCTTAAAACTAAGCTTATTTTGTTAAACTAAGCTATAGACCTTAATTGAATTCACTCACAGCTCGATTTTGTCCACAATAAAGTCTCAATCTCCAAAATTAATTGGGATTTAAAGTTAGTTTATTTGAGTGAAGCTGTTTCTTAATATGGGTTAAAACTTCTCATACTATGTCGATTTTTTTTTCATTTGTTTATTTATGTTTGTGTTGCATATGTTGTTGTAAGAAAAAGAAAAAAAGAATGAATTTTTCCAAAATGAACCAAAAAAAATAGAACCAAAAAAAAAATATAGAAAATAGAAAAATAAAAGCTGTTTATTTATGGCCTCTTCCACTGTTTTATTTTTAATATATTTAAATAGATTTGCCTGCAACAAACAGAAGTAAAGATTAAAAGCTGAACTTCAGAAGATTTTTCTTAAAAATCTACATATAAATAAAACAAAACAGTGTCTATGAGTTTCAGGAAATAAATAAAATGTCATCTTCTGGAATGACGTACTTACAATCTTGACCACAAGAGGTCACTCATCAGGGAAAGATAAAGTTTGTTTTGGGGCGTTTGAATGTGCAACAGTAGCTGTGCTTCTTGCTGATAGACAGTTTCAGTTTCACAATAGTGAAGAAATGAATAAAAAAAAACAGAAATGGAGCCTGATTTAGTGCGGGTGATGATGGGGGGGGGGGGGGGGGGGGGGGAGTGGCAGGAGGAGGGGGGGGGGGGGGGGGGGGATCTTGAACTGAGAGAGTGGAAGTGGCAGATATTGAGCACAAAAGCTGTTTGAATGTGATATGTAAACTGCAAGGTCTCCTGGGAAGCGCTCTCTGAGCCCGGCCTGCACACTCCTACACACACCTACACACTCCGACACACACCTACACACTCCGACACACACCTACACACTCCGACACACAGACACAATCTTGTAGTGATACAGCAGTGAAAAGAGAGGAGGTTGTTGCCAGAGTCCAAACGATTCAAATGACTCGGCGAGTCTGATAACCGCCGCCGCTCGGAGCCCGTCGCATGGCTGCAGGCCTCTCTTATTGATACATCTCCCTCCATTTAGGAAATGGGCTTAGGGATTTATTCATTATAATTCATCATGGCTGTATTATCATTATCATCATGATCGTGATGATGATCGCCTTTATTATTCTCATTATCATAATCACAATCTCCACCGTAATGGCCGTCATTTATTTGGTTTTTATGGCCCATTCGGAGATGGTGACATACATTGTTAGCGGTGACAGTTGTTTGATTCAAGGTCCCCACTCCGTCTCCCCTGCAGCCATTCAGGTAGTTTCACCTGAGCCGGACGGCGTCCGGTCACCCAGCCGGGGAAATTCTCCCGATTTGCAGAGTAAGGAGTGGATTTGTGACAGAGAGAGACGAGCGTAGGGGCTCTAACTTTGCCGTGTCCTCGTGCGCTGGAGGTTAATAGCCTGAGTAGCCATGTTGGGCCCAGGGGTGACACGTTGCAGACAGATGCTGGGACCGTGGAGGGTGACAAGGTACCGGAGCCCCTCGGGTCAATCTGTTTCATCGGTCACACATGACACTATCGACCTTTAGCGTATGTTGCCAGACTCCCGAGCACCACTGTCCTCCAGCTCTGTCTGTCGGGCTTTTTATCACGCCGCGCGCGCTGGCGTGTTTGCAGACATCCAGATTAACTTTCAGTCGGTGCTCAGACAGGCCAGCAGCCCGCTGACATCAGGGCCAAGCACACATTCTGAGAACACAAACGCTGAATTGCTGACTCCGAGCGCCCCAGACTGCAAACTACTAACTCAATAACTTCGAGTGTCACTGAGATCCGGGGAATGCTGCCTGTGCGCCTCTGCTCCCGAGGCTCCAACCCGCCTGCCTGGTTGTGAAATGGTGCTGTAGCAGTGGAAAATAATTACCTCCATATTACCATAGGAGGCCACCTTCAGTGGCACTTTACTGTCCCGACAGCTGCTGTCACAGGGAGGAGGAGGTGGGATGCAAAACACACCATCACCGCCAAAGCCGGCAAAGCTAAGAGTGAGAGAGCTGTCAACTCCTGCAGCTCTCTGGCTTCCTGTTCAGTCATTTCTCTAAAAGACTCCCTTGCTGTTATTTGCAAATCGCCTGCAAAGTGCTCTGCTCAGCACTTTCCCCCTCCTCGCAGAGTGGCATTACAAGAGCATAATTGAAACTATCTGATTGGAATGCTGCCAAGCAGGTAGATTACATCCGATTAAATAGCAGCCGGGGTGGGGGGGGGGCTTTAGAGTCTTCGCTCACAAGAATTATAATGCTCAAGTCTTAATTCATTACGTTCCTCTTCCGGTGCGCCATGGTTTGTTTTCTTTCTCTAAAGAAGCTGCAGATATAAGCTCTCCATCACTTGAAGGAGCGGCGGCTCTGACCCAGCTTTGCACGCGTTTTCCCACAAAGTAGGCGATTGCTTTCAGGAGGGACCGCAAGACGACGTCACTGTCTCATCAGATGAGATGCATTAAAAAAAAGAAACATGAACATGGTTCCCACACATTTCTCCAAACGGAGGATAATAGTTTTTCTCTGGAATGTCTGGATGTTTTGGTCGATTTTTAATAAATATCTTGACATTTCAGTGGAAGGTGTTAACTTCGATCCTGCTTGAGGTTTTTAGTTGACTTATCTGTAGGCACTGCAAACAATGAAGGAGGCGAGTCATCATGGGGTCAGCTGTTCGGGGTCTGAGGTGATAATGTAAAAAAAATATGGTTTTACCCAGTTTGAGTTAAGAGTAGTAAATAACTTGCTCCCAGGAAAAGAACTGGAAGGGGAAAGTCCCGAGGCGCAACTGTACGGTGGCCCTGAAGTGCAAACTGCAACTACAAATCTAAAAGCGCAACTACATTAAGGAAATCGCAACTACATTAAGGAAATCGCAACTACATAAAGCAAAGTGCAACTACATTAAGGAAATCGCAACTACATAAAGCAAAGCGCAACTATATTAAGGAAATCGCAACTACATAAAGCAAAGCGCAACTACATTAAGTAAAACAAAAATACATAAAGCAAAGCGTAACTACATTAAGGAAATCGCAACTACATTAAGGAAATCGCAACTACATAAAGCAAAGTGCAACTACATTAAAGAAATCGCAACTACATAAAGCAAAGCGCAACTACATTAAGGAAATCGCAACTGCATAAAGCAAAGCGCAACTACATTAAGGAAATCGCAACTACATAAAGCAAAGCGCAACTACATTAAGGAAATCGCAACTACATAAAGCAAAGCGCAACTACATTAAGGAAAACAAAACTACATAAAGCAAAGCGCAACTACATTAAGGAAAACACAATTACATTAACCTACCAGAAAAGGTAGGTACCAGAGGGAAACATGAGACATCGCTGATTGGACGAAGGCGCCGTTTGACCCTTGAACCGGAAGTTGCGTCGTCTGAACAGTCCAGCTTCTTTTAAGTGCGTCTTCAGTGTACGCAAACTAACTGAAATTCCGTGATTAGTCTTGAGCATATCCAGTATCACCTCGTACGTATGTCCTGATTCTAAATATTCCTGGATAACGGCAGCTATGTTTGGGGCAACGACAATATCCATGTTTTCAAAAGCCGCAGCAGGCAGAATGACTTCCGGTTCAAGGGTCAAACGGCGCCGTCGTCCAATCAGCGATGTCTCATGTTTCCCACTGGTACCTACCTTTTCAGGTAGGTTAATGTAATTGTGATTTTCTTAATGTAGTTGCGCTTTGCTTTATGTAGTTTTCTTTTTCTTAATGTCGTTGCGCTTTGCTTTATATAGTTGCGATTTCCTTAATGTAGTTGCGCTTTGCTTTA